TGGGGCTTGCTGGTACATCTTTCCTACTCAGTTGGCAGCTTTTGGTGATCTTTGTCCATACTTCCCATTCCAAATTCCACCATCCTCAGACCCTCGCGCAGACTGGGAACCATTACAATTTTTTAAGGTTCGGCTTCGTGCAACTTTTCGTGCTATTCAGCGTGCTTTTTGCTCTTTATTCAAAAAGAACAAAAAAATAGCACCAAACATTGCACCCCCGAAACAACGAAAATCAACCAAGGCCTAAACTTACCCTAAACCCTAAACGGTTCACCAAAAAAACGGCAGCATTTCCCCCTCCTGGAACAAGCACAAAAAGTTGCACCGCCAGGTCCACAATTGTTCACCCAAAAAAGCACAAACAGTCGCACCCCCGGGCCCCAGGTCCACAGTTTTTCAAAAGAAATTTGTGCCGATATCGTGCTACCCGTTACGGTTTTTGGTCGTGCATTTTCTCATTAAAACCTGCGGCCCTCCTTCGTCATTTACTTTGCTTTAGCCTCTAGCCCTAGCCTTCTGTCCCCCCTTCCAGCACCTTTGGCTGACCCCCTTACTGTTTGCGCCCTCTTGGAAAAAAGTTGCCTATTTTTTGTGTTCTCGATCGTGCAACTTTTAGTGCTTTTTTCGTTTTCACTGTTACAGTTACAGCCATTTGGAAACACACAAGATAGACTATATGTGGGCGAGTATTTGGATGATATTGCTCGTGATTTCAATAGCTGGATGATGCTGGAGAAGAGCTAATAGCATCAGGACAAGGGGTGCTTCGTCAGAGGGTGGTGCGTCAGACTTCAACCAAGCACGAGGTATTGCAGGTGCGCTGGGAGCTGTGCTGTTCCTTTCATAACATGCCATAAGACATTCTATCCTATTTCCTGGGGAGTCATCGTCAGAATCCTGCCAACAAAACTTTCGAGCCTTATTGTCCGACCCAGTGACTCAGCTCAAGATGAAGTCAACAGCAGCCCACAGTCTTCAAATGGATGCAGCTCAAAAAAGACATTAGGAGGCGTTGTTCCTGCTTTGGTCGATGTGCCTTTTTTACCAACATGGATGGCATTCTTGAGCCAAAGCCGGATGGAGTACCTTGAACCTTGACATAAATTTTGGCTCAAGCCGCACATGGTTAGCGCCGCCATGAAGGATGCCTCACAGGTTTCACCACTGGGCAGACCGGCCAAATGAGTTTGTTCTTTTGCGGATCAGCCGGAAGATTCGATGGCCATCTTAATCTTCAAAGAAAACATGGGTGGAAAGAATCTTCCAACATCCATAGCCGGCCATTGGTGGGCCGTTTGCAAAATCACACGAGTCTGGTTTGGTGACCCAACAAGTTTGACGGTGGCCACGAAGAACGCAGAGTAAAGGTAATACACCATAATGGTACATATATAAATATATATATATATTATAATATATTATATAATTTGGGTCTGTCCGTTCTCACCTGTAACAGTCAGTAAACTAGCAAATCATATTTTTGTTAAACAAGGCCTTTACTAACCATCATCATCGACTGTTGCAGGTATTAGGATAGACATGGATAGACCCAATTTATAATATATATATATATTATTTTCCCAATCTGGGGGATCAATACCATTCAAGACATTACTTTGCCGCCGCAATGCTCACTCATGTTGCTTTCTTGATACAAGATGTTGAGACCATGGGTGCATGATTTTGGGGCCAGCACAGCCACTGTAGAACAGGCGGCTTCAAGATTTGATGTGCACGTCACGAAAGCCAGCCTCAGCTAGCTGGAGCCACTCTTTCTTTAGCAAGAAATTGAGAGGGTGGACGGCAGCCTCAAAGACCTCAAATCCATTGAATTATTCAAGGGTATGGACCCCCCCCCTCAGGGGGTTCAACTCCCACTGGCGTGTTTGGCTTTGGAGAGGCCTGGCCATACCATGAGGCCACATTGCATGGCAGCATCGGTGTTGGCCTGGGTCTCACTCATAACTTATAACATTGAATTTGTTCCACCCTCATCATTCCTGGCAAAGAGCTCTTGCCTCTCAACCGCAAATGCGAACCCGCATGATCTTGCGACCCTGATGGCACCCAGCCCTTGTGGCGTCACACTCAATGAGTAGCGAATCCCTCATCATGGCCTTCCTCATGTGCATGGGACAAGGCATGATGACAAGGCTCATCGCCCCACCTCATCAAAACCCAGCCCCTCAAATCAATGCTCTCTTGGAGATGGCCATGAGCTTCCCATCCAGCAGCTGAACCTTCTCATCAAGCTGCCTCATGAACACTTTCCCATAGTATGCCATCACCATGCCCTGCCTCCCATACCACTCATCATCAGCAATGCCAACATTGCAATCTGTGCTAATGATCCTGCTGTTGATTTCCTGATGTTCGAGCCTGATCTATTGCGACCCCATGTTGTTGGACCATGGCTCCCATGGTTTCCCATTAAACACCTGATGGTGAAATCACACGACCCCATTCCATGAACAGCAAAACCCAACTACATCTCATGGTTTTCAATCTTGATGGCCATCCACCCAAGCCCCCATGGACCCCACTTTCCCCCACAACCAGAAGCTCCTCATGCTCATCTTCCAATGGAGCTGCTGCATCAAAGATCTCATCAAGGAATACCTCAGTCGATACCACCCCAAGCTCCTTGCTTGGAGGCTGCCCCTGCTCAGTATCGCACTACTGTTGCGTCGGAGGAACAAACCGTGCACAGCAGTGGCTAGCTAGCTTTTGTTCACCTCCCCTGCCCTCAAGTGGAAAACACCCAGTTGCACCTGGAAAAGTTTTTTTTCTGTTTTCCCCAGTTTGTTGAGGTCTCTTCAACGTTTGGTGCGACTCCACCGCCTGCGGATGCGCAGCGTCTCCGCCGGTTCCAGCGGAAACGATCTCAGCTCCAGAGACGATCTCAGTTCCGGAGACCGCAGAGGGCCACAAAGCTTTGGGCGAAGCGTTGGGTGGAGTCAGCGAGGGGGACTCTGCCGTCTTCAGCTCAAGCCCAGCCAATGAGGCGATCAACACGGATCAATTCATCCGCAGCGTTTTCGGTGTTGAACTCCGTGGGAACTCCGTTGGGGGGAGAGACGGTAGATGATGCTGGATGATTGCTTGGAATCGGCCAAGCAAAGTAAGGGACACTATTGGTCCTTGGACCCCAAGAAGGCTATGTCATATGTGATAGAACCTGATCAGTTCCCAAAGTGGTTGCCTGGTTTTACTTCCGGTGATTTGTATTGTGTCATTTGTGCCCTTTAGGGAGTAAGTTTTGGTTTACATTGGAAAATTACTGTGCTATTGATTTTCATCCTAGGGTGTCTTTGTTGTTACATGAAAGAGTTTTTGGCATTCACCGTGTCGTTTGGAGGATCGGACCCCAGTGGCAGTCTTTTCTCTCAAGTACGGTGATCATCTTCCAGAAGCACGTCGCGAGTCATTGAGCTCATCGATGACAGCCACAGACTCCATTCAACTGGTTCTGAGCCTTGTGGGAAAGGAGACGGTTCGACTGCAGCCTTTGATTCTGGTAATTCTATCAGGGCTTGCTTCCGTTGCTTGTCTGTGAGCGTTGAGGAGGCAAGAGAGCCTCACTGATCTCAAGAATGTTTTATCCACACAGTCCACTTACATGGCAACTATACAATTCCATAAACATATAGAAACTATAGATGCTGCGCTGTGAAGAAGCGTGGAACGGGGATATGTGCAGGATCGCCACCTGGAAATCGTTGGGGGTTGTTGGAAGACTGAGGCCCTGATCGCGGGACTGTTTTCTGCCTTGTCTTTGGCAATCAGCGGGATTTGGGCAGTGCCAGGCCATTCGTGCCTCAAACTCTTTCAGACTGCTATTTGGCTGTGGGGCAAAACCCTGATACCTTGGTTGACCTAGCTGGGAGGTCAACTTACCCGGGGGGGGTTTGACCCACAGCCTTGAGTTGGGTGAGGCCATCCATGCAGTGACCTCAGGTCGGTAGAAAAAAGTGCCCAACACGTCTCCAAGTGCGTCACCTTCCTTATCAACATCCATCCTTAAACATCCCACAAGTTCGGGAACACAAGAAACATGATCGCCGAAGCAGTCGAAGAAGTGCTGCCAGCCGGAGGAAAGTGATCCGTTCACGGCCCGAAACGAGTCTGGTCGAGGGTGGGATGCACTTGAGGGTGCACCGGACTTGCACCGGACGTGGTCAAGATGTCCGTTTCTTTGTGACCCAGACGGACGTGGTACTTGAGCCACTGCCAAACCTGCCAAGATCTGAGGCAGGCGAACAGTCTGGATGGGTTTCTTAATCGATTGGGCTGGTCTTTGAGTCCTTTCTTCCTGGGCAGCTACTTTCCATGCCTTTTCGTTCCTGAAATGATGACAGACTGGCGGATGCACATCTTCTTCTTGGCGGTTCCTGGGAGATCAAACGATGTGTTTCCATTGAAAACCCACCGGCGGACAGCCACGAGTTGCTTGCAATGTGTGGCTCAAATAGTGAATTCAATGATGCATTATGTTTTACTGGATCTCCTGACCCAGAAAGGTAATTACTGTGTAACATATATATATATATATATATATTTGTCCCTTCCACTGAATGTGGGTGGACGCTTCAGCAAATATTGAGTCCATGCGCTTCTCAGAGCCCGCAAAATAGAGAACCCATTGAAATCATTGAGGACTAGTTTGACACTAGGAATGGGGACAGGCTAAGATCACAGCCCATCCTGGTGATAGTGATTGGTCTTCTGTGTTTGGCGCAGACCTGTTCGGTGGGTCGGTCGACCTCGTGGATTTTTCGTTCGCCACTCTTCTCCCCTGACATCCAGGTGAGCCTGACACCCTTTGTCATCGCTGACGTGGCGTTCCCTTACGTGGCTGGTTCCTAGATCACCTTGTTCTTTGATTAGTTGATTCCAGATCCTTTCAGAATATTCAGGGTGTTTCTTTCAACTTGTCTGAATCACGTGCTTGCAGCGCCTCCGAACTGAGGTCGTTGGAACTGACACGGACTTCAAAATCTGGTTTTCGACCTCGTTCTGGCCGACCACCACGTGTGTGTTCTTTCTACCGTGCATGATCGCTGGGATTCGGCACAACAAAGGGGATCCTTTCTGGTATGATCTTCGCTCACACGTGAAGTACATCAGGATCCGTGACCTACACTCTGACAAACCAAACGTGGAAGTGGATTTTGTTCTGTTCGTAGAGCCAAGTGGTCTTCCAAGGTCCGGGGGCCTATTTTTACTTTTAACTGTTGGTGAGTCGGAGTGCAACATCACGTGGTGCCCAGACGCTCCAAACAAACCTCTGGTCAAGGCACACAGAGTCCACCTTCACATTCATTTGGGTTCACAGTTCAACCAATCCTCAGGTTTTGAGGTCTGCATGTTTTGGAGCGCTTGAGTTTTTTTTTTCTTTGTGACCAGTAGTTGTGTGTGCTATTTGTTCATGAGAGGTTGATAGATGTTGCATGTTTAAAGCGGTTCTATTTTGGGGGATCATTTTTTTTGGGGGCGGTTTTTTCGTCCTGGCTTTTTCAGGACTCAGGGGAAAGGCTTCTGGGCCGATTTGTTGCGGCTCAATGCTTGTTTCTGGGCCACTGTGGTGCCGGTGAATTATTTGGCCCTGGACTTCGCCATGGTTCTGCCCCATTTGGACCAACGGACCGCCGCTCGGTCTGGCGAAACAGCGCGGGGGATGGGGGAGCAGGTGTCAATGCTGATGGAACCAGACCTGGCAACCGTGCCAACAATCCCACAGCCGTAACAAAGCTCATACTTCATTAGCCTAGAGGTATATTACATATATATATATATATATGTATGCTACCCCCCCGGAAAGATCTACCATGTTTGCCTCCCACATGCATGCCTAAGTCAATATTATAGATAGATCTACAAGCACTTCAAAGAGCTTGGTATCAAACAAAACGCAACCGTTACACATCAAGGAGTTTATTACTTCACTGTCAGCCTTCAACATACAAATGTTACAGATTACCCTAAGGATCTTATACGCAAGAGAACTTTTAAAGGGAACATGCAGAAGACATACAGACATACCAAAGCTTTTTTTTCACAAAACCCTCAATTGCTTGGTGATGATAAGGACAGTTTGATTTAGTTGAAGGACTTGACAATGTGTTATGACAACCTATGCTGTATCAAAATCAGAGTCAGTAGAAAAAATAAAGAAGCATGGTAAAGGAATGCATATATTGAACGACAATTTGATAGATGCAGCTAATGTAGATCTAGCACTATTATACAAACACACCAAACACAATTCAATAGACATTGAAAAGAGTAATTACATATAGATAATGTATGCTCGAGGAATGCATTAATGGTTTTTATGACACTGCTCTTATGAGTGGGACAACTAGAAAAATGCTTTCGATAGGAACATATTTGTGAGATTATGGGAAGAGATGAGTTGACTGAAAGGGGGTATCCATTAAGGAAATGGAACAAGTATTCTATATTGATTTGTTTCAATTCAAAACCAAACGCAAGTGTTTATACCAAACGTGCGTTATAACTGAACTGAACCAAAAGTAGAGAAAAAGAAACGTCAAACATACAATCCAAACACAGCGCCAGTTGTACAGAACTTCAGTTGAGGGTTGCATTATATACAGTTGAGGATGAAGACACGTATAACAATATGAGCCTAGGAATGTATAGCTTGAACAAGGAGATATTTAACTCTTTTCAAAAGCTATACTATTCAATTAAGACTTTGATCTTAAATTTAAAGCAACTGTGGAATGAGAAGTTATGATATATCCATTTGAACAGGTCCCGAGCATTTACACACATTATAAAACAATGAACGTTTGTCAGTTTGATACATGAAAGTTATATAAACATGTGGTCGGTTATGATATGTTGGCTAAGTTTACCTTCTTGTATGCAGATATGTTTTTTTTGCAAATAGTGCAATGTTATTCAACAACGATATAATGTGATCTACCAGGCAATATGAGACAATTTTAAGGATGAACATGTCAAGAGAAGAGCCAAGATACTGGCATGCAAAGAACCCAGTAAAATTCACATTACTAATTGCAGAGGTATTCAGAATCAGTTCTTGAACACACACACATATTTGATAATCAATAATCATACAAATTCAACAGGAGTTGATAAGTGTTGTTAACTATGGGGTAGAGCGACAATATGGACTCACGATTCAATATTGCTAGAACAACTGTTTTCTAGGCATCTTGAATCTTGAATCCAGGTCCACAACAGCTATTTACAGTATGTTTTAGGACACTAAGTGTTTCTATGTATTTAACGTGTTTATCTCCAAACTATGCACATGTATATACAGTATATATGTATATGCTCCCCCTGCACGTTTAACACCAATGTAGTAACATTCATGAAAACAGGTAGGTCAGGACATGGATGCAGAGGAGTGAGGAGTCCTTGCCTTAAAAAGTATTTCCAACATATGAAACAGGTAGATCCCGGGGGGGGCTCTCTCTCTCTCTCTATATATATATATGTACACTGACTCTCCTTTGTGACCAGTCGTGACCGGGTGACCGCTGCGCCCACCAAGGCAGCGCTGGTGAGGCCCTTGATCTCGCTGGTCATCAAGGTCGGTTGCTTTGAGATTTTCAAGGTGGCAGCCAAGGGTCTAGGAGATGCAATGCCTCCAAGCTGCAGAGTGTCAAGTTTGGGGAGTCCAAGCGGATTCTACTGAAGCTTGAATCGGGTTGAATGCCTGCTAGTTAGATCTAATCAGAAAGATTTGGGATCTAGAGGTTTCCTTGGGGATGCTTTCTGTGTCGGATATGATGTGCACCTACAAAAGCACTCTGAGAAGGGTCAGCAGTTCATGTTTGTCCTATCAGTCGAAGGTCTTCGACCAATCCGAAAACGTGATGATCAATGAGCCCAAGCCATCCATGGATGAAATAGTTAGTTACTTAAAACTTATAGAGTTTCGTGTATTTATACATGTCACAATATTCCATACATGGATGAACTGGGGAGGAGCACAAAGTCCCTTGTTAGAAAATGTTGGAAAAGGCACAAAGACAAAGGCTGGTAGAGATGTGGTCTTTGCGAGCAAGGGGATGTCTCCGACGATTCCCTGTCTCACAATTGTCTCGAATATTTGGAAGATCATGTCCCTTGGAATATTTTTTCCCACAGATGTGACGTAGAGTTGGAAGATCATGTCCCGTCAGGTCATTTGCATACTCTACGGGGAACCACAGCTGGAACCCCAAAAGGATTGACATCGACATCCACGGGGTCCACCGTTCCCTGCCCCGGCCGCGGCATGATGATTGAGGCAGCTCTTTGGTTTTTTCCCTTTGGCATTGAACATTGGCTTGCACACAGCCACTGGGCCAAGGAAGAATGTTTCTAAGCTTTGCCGCGGGGTGACTTTGAAGTATCTTCAGTGATTTGTGCAGCAAGATTGCCAAAGCACTGGTGGCGTTTCAAGTCTCCTCTTTTGCTTGCTGCTTGCTGTGCCGAAGCAGGGTTGTGGCTTCAACATTCTTTGACACACAAAGCTAAAGTATGAAGTGCATTTTGTTGTAGCAGAGACGTTCAAACTAACACAGATGCAAGCCGTGTGTTGAATATATAATGAAATATAGTTTGCGGTGTCCCTTCCCAAAAGAAACATAGCTCCTCCCAGGACGGTGAGGATAATGTTCCCTTCCTAGTGACCCATTTGTTGCAGGACCATGTTCAGTAGTATATAGAAAGTTTGAATCAGTTTTACTTGATCCACTGCAGGTTGCACCATGCAAGGTCGAACATATATGCCTTGGTCCATGTAAGCTTGCGAGCATCCATGTTTGTCTCCATGTTTGCTTAGGCCATGTCTGCTGTTCTGTGCAAAGACTGGCTGAGCGTCTTGGTGTGGATTCTCTGCGACTTTGCCACCTGCATTTGGAGGACGCAGAGGGTCCGGGTGCGGCAAGTCGACCCTTGGCCAAGAGTTGGCTGCGGATCACCAGAACGTTGAATCATCAGGGCTGTGGGCCAAGGGTTGGTATATACCACATTTTCCAACGCTGTGCTGTGGTCAGAAAATGGCCACTTTTTGAGACGGTTTGGTGGTACATATTTCGATTCAGGATAAATTAATGTGGGTGAGAATTGAAGGCCCAAGAAATGCCCAAGACCGCCCTCTAAAGTTGCGGATTATTGAGTTCTTGAGTGACCATTTTTCACAGCAACGCACTTGGAATATACTGGTTCACCATCATAATCACACCAAACTCCTCCAATGGCGCTGCCAGACAAGGCCCTGCAGGCCTTTCACGTGTCCCCACAGACCCTTCAATTCGCGCCCTCCTTGCGTTGGTGTTCCTCGCCAGGCCCTTCACAGTCGCCAATCGCGCGGCACCAAGGAATGCCTTTTGCCCATCTTCCCCTGCCTCAATGAGAGCGATGAGAAGATTCGCCGGCGAGGATTGGAGTCGATCATTTTGGGCCTCTTGGAGGAGAGCTGGAGATCGGAATCCGGCACAGTCGAGAAGCTACTTACCAGGTCCTTGAAATGCAGCAACCCAAAACATCCATTGAGCGTTTTTTGGGGGATGAACCAACGCAGTGTGTTGTGTGTGTGTTTCTGCAAAGTTGTTGTAAGTGCAGAGTCATAGATGTAGCCTGTTACGTAACAAGTAAAGACAGTGCAAGCGAATCATGCCAGCAGGAATCCGTTTGCTCTAGTTTAATATGTATATATTATATGATGCACAGTATACACATCACTCTAGTAGGTGACAGGGGACTAATTGAACTGGACATGACAGTGAGGGTTCTGATGAATGGATTTCATCCAGTCTGACTGTGGCTCTTTGAGGGGGTGCCCTTTTTGAGAAGAAGGAACCACACAATGACAAGTTGACATTGTTTGTTCTTGGAGAGCCGGTGAGATTTCGACCGTTATGGAGTCCGGGCGGCTTTTGCAAGCAAAGATCAAACATGAAACACACACACACACACAAACACACTGCATTTTTCAGGGAAACCCCAACTCTCCACAGCTGCAAAGAGTGTGCTCATTTTGGCTCTTAAGTGGATCCATGCACCTAGGACCTATAATACTATAAGCCAACCTCTTTCTCTGGAAGCCAACAAGGCCTCCGCCGCACCTCGCTGCGTCCAGGTTGGGGCCTCACAGCGGCGTTGTCCAGTATTTTGGTGGTTTATCCCTTCACCTTCTTGCTGCCCGACATGCTGCAGGGCTTGATGTTTCCTAAAGGCCCGGGGAGGTTACCCCGCCACCCTCTGGGGAGGAGAGGGGCGAAGCGGGACCGGAGGGGCGCGAGACGAGAAGAGGGAGGTCGATCACAAGCGATGGTGGGTAGAACATTGTGGAACATCCCAGAGCTAAATTACCATGGTATGATATGGTATGTATCTTGATTTCTCCCTTTTCTTAGGATGAGTCACATATTTCAATGAATGGGATCAGGGAAGCATCCCAACCCATACAACGGCTACGCTGCAAGGCACGGAGGCAGACTTGAGGCTAAGGGCTGCACAGGCTAAGGGCTGCACCCTCTCCACACAAATGGCTTGTGGGTTTGTTTAGAGGTCCGCCATAGCCCTCGTGCATTGGACAGTTGCAGCAACCAAATGCCACATGCCAAAATCCTTTTGTGTTCTTCAAACAACACGGACCCTTCCGCAGTGTGGTCGCATGGTCCGGAGTCCGGGCCCTTTCGTCCATCTCCTCAGGCACCACCAGCTTGATCTACTTGGCAGTGGTGTCCGCGTGCGACATCCTCTTCGATATTGGCGCCATCGTGCTCCTGACCCATTCGTGCAGACACCCGGTGTGTTGAACCCATAAACATTAAGAGGTCCAAGCTTGGAATCAATCGAATCAATCAAACAATCTAAGTGTCGGATCGGCTGGATGTTGCAGCCAGACAATGCAGACGTCCCCAAATCTGCGGCATTTTGGGGAATTCGGTGTGTTTGGGATGGATGTGATTCGATTTGGGAAATCACCACATGTTTGGGATTGGACAAACATCACGTTCCACCGACCAGTGCTGGGGAGTGATGCCAACCAAGGATATGATTTTGGCCGAGCTCCTTGGAATTTAGAAAGCTGGGGTTTGGCACATGGACATGCAACGAATACAGACCATGGTTTATGCATAGCACCAGAGGACATTCACATCCCTAGGAGCACCCCCTGGGGTGTTTTCCACTCTCCTAGATGCACCCCAGACTTATAAGGCCTCCGCAGTTCAAATAGCACGCGGATGGGGGTGGAGCATGGTGGAAGCGATTTGTGCATTTTCTTTGAGCTGACCTAACCAAAGAGCAGCACTGCAGCACTGGCCCCATGAGTCCATGTGGATGAATGGCCACCGGACTGGCCCCAGGTTCTCGGATATCAACCATTCTCCAAAACCCTGAGATATGCCTACTTGAGCTGCTTGGCGTTTTAGTGATCTGCAGATTCCACCAATCAAGTAGTCTTGCGCAGTCCACCAACCAGGTGGGTAAGAACATGTAAGAACTGTTGCTTCTTTTCGACCGTGAAAACACCAGAACTTCGATGCGAACTCTTCCCGGGGATGTACGGAACTAAAAAAAACAGCGATTTCCCTGTGGTTTCGCTCCATTTCGATGTACATCTGGGATGGACGCTTTTCGCGCGAAGAACGGCCGTGCGGGGACACGGACACGTGCGGGACTGACGTCGACTTCACGGTGTCAAGACGTGGGTGCGGACGGATGGTGGAGTCTACATGAGTGAATAGTGAAGCCCTGTACTTAGTCCAGCCCCATGAGAAGATCACCGCAGTTGGTAGTATACAGTATACAGGTTTCAATCAAAGTTGTGGTCAATCTATCTTCCTTCTGTAGTCATTACATTCCTTGCCGGAAGCTCCGAACCGAGGCGTCTTGACGGTGGTGTGGGCGCCGTTTGCAGTTGGAATGTTTGGCTGGGTGTTCCATCACATGTGTGTGGCGGCTTTTGACTTTGAAGCGGCACACTGCCTAGTGGCCTAGCCCACTAGCTAGCAGGTGATCCGCTGCAGCTCCAGCCTTTCGTGTATATACAAGTGCCCGCTGCACTCCCTGTCAATCAGCTTGCGACTTGCGGCCGATCGGGAACCACTTGTTGCTAATTGGCGATTGGTCCCATCGCTTTGTGAGGGCAGGTGCAGGGTAGGTGCTAATGAAAGCTGTGGGAGTTACCCACACGCAGTAGGCATTGAAGGGCGGCAGGCGGCAGATGCCACCATGGGAAAGCCCGCTTTAGTGATTTGTTTGCTAACCTTCGTTAATGACGCTGATGTCGATTGCATCTGAGCAGAAGTTCCGCGCATTTTACCTAACTACCCGAAACAGAAGCTGATTGAACAAGCTCAGGGTGTTGATGTTGCTCGGTTTGCTCGGTATGCCATATGCAGCATATGCAAGACATTTAGTCCATTTTGGTGCCTCGGGAAGCCGAGACCAAGAGGGAGACCTCGGTGCTTTGACTAGGCGCAGAACTGTGCCAAAACGGATCGCAGATCGTTTCTTCAGTTGTGTCCACGAGGTTATGCTGCTCGAGATGCGGAGGGCACATGGGGCATTCAGTAGAATTAGTAAGCCCCAAATGGATACAAAAGAACTCAAGCGACTCTAGTACATACAGTGAATACAGTGCATCTTCAAAGGAAACCCGTTGCTTCGTGGGAGGCACGTGCAAGATATGCTTGGGGCCTTGAAACAAGATCAACTCAGGCTGATGTAAACATGCAGACTTACGTTTATTTTGTACTGGTTATTTTCAGAGTTTAAGCATGTTGGAGCTTGGGCATGCTCAAACGATCAATTTTGGCTCAATCCCGTTGAGAACAGGCATGTTTTCGGCTTTCCACTATTGTACCAACAAGAGCATGGTCCCCGAAAGAACCCTTATTAATCTGCATGCTCCTCGAGACATATCATTCCCATTGAGTAAGTTGCGTGTAGGTAGTGTGCATCACTGGTACCACCCTCCTTGTGGGTGGTTCGCCTACTGGAAGAATCAAATCGGACCTGCGGTTGGTTTGATGTCAAGAGTCAAGGGTTTACCTACCCACCCTTTCTTTACTGTTTGTTTGTTTTCTGTGATTTGCACGGTGCTCCAGGTTCTCTTTTGGTGTGCAAGATCGCGGGTGCAGCAGCGGGCGCCGGGTTGCCCCTCGAAGAGGCCAGTGATACACGTCAGTTGGGAGGGCCTCCCTAGTCTAATAGACACCCCATTTTGTGTTGATTCACAAGCAATCGGGCATTGTTTGTGTCCCAAGTCTATCAAAGGATACAGTATTTGACTCCCTCTCAGCCAGAATTTCCCACTCTTGCTTCAACCCACAAGAAACATATGATTATATAATTAATAGTTTGCTAAGTTCACAGTCGTTTGCTGAAACGGACAAAAAATGGAAAGAGGTCGGATCAAGACTCTTGGACTGATGGGTATTCTCGGTTGAGAACCAAGATGTGATGACGCTCAGTCTAGTGACTATATTGCGCAATTTAGTGATTTCTTTTGGTTTTGATGCCTGGGCGAACCAGAGGGGAAACCGAGCTTCTGATTGAACTCAATGGAAGTTTGAATCAATGTTACAACCATGAGAGTTCCACATCAGCAATCTTTGTTGCAACCTTCTTTGGAGGTCAAGGTCAGAAAGCTGATGCATGGATATGGATGGTTTGTCTCAGCATAGCTACAATGAATGCTACAGGCAAAGGCAGGCATAGCTAAAAGATCCTTTTTTAACGAACCTAGCGTGGTGCGTACATTGTGAGGTCTTTTTAGAGGCGGAGGCTGCCGCCAGCGCGGTGCGCACACAAGGAGTCGGGGCCGTAGACCAGATGGACATTCACTCCGCTGAGAAGTGCAATTTTCCCGCATAGACAATAGACAAGCACAAAAAGCACAGAAGTGCAACACAAGGTTTGCAAACTCCCTTGGAAGTCAGTTTCCTGTAGCGTTAGGTTCTGTGAAGCGCATGTTTGTACATGGGAAGGAAGATGGTTCGTTGCAGCATCAGTTTGTTGTGTTCTTGCGTATCATTTTGCTGCGTAATTTGTCTCGTTGTCATTTCGGGCATTGTTTTAGCAAACGGACAGGAGGTAAGAACGTGAAAATTGATCTTCAGCATCAGAACAACCAATCTTCGCAGTCAGTTGCTATATATAGATCATCCTAGAAACCCTAGAGCTGAAGCATTCCTTGAACCTTTACTAACTGGCATGAGATCAGCATTTGTGCCTGCCAAAGTGCGGACTGTGAGATCGTGTTTGAACCCTCGGTTCATGCTCAAGGTTGGCTAAGGCTTCAGCCAGGAACCCTTCGATATGAGCATTAGGCAGGTTCCCCCCAGCGCCAGCCACTCAGCCATTCAAGTGGCTGAGCAGCTGATTGGCTGTGAAAAAGGCCACGTGTTCAATTCAGCCAGAATATATTGTGTGGCTGACTGGTTCCCGCTTTTGCAACACCGGCCAAGAAGTCACCTCCGCTGTCTCCGCTCATGTTTGTTTGCCATGTAGTTTGTGGAGGTCTCCCACGTTCACACGACCACACGGCACACACACGCACACGGCACACAACCCAGGTCAGCTTCAACTCGTGCAGCATCCCAGGGATGCTTCCAGCAGGGGTGCTTGGGGTGCTTGGGGCGCCGTTGGCGGCTTACGTGGGGAACGGACGAGAATGGACGAGAACAGACTATATATGATGACATTAACACTCATTAATATGATGGCTCGATCAGGTCTATTTCTAGAGTCTAGAGTCTAGAGAAGCTCGGAGTGTATAGATGCATGATGCATGTCTTGAATTGTTAAATGCTTGATTGGTGGGAACTGTGGCGTCAGCCTCAGTTTGTGAGCCACAGGACAATGATTCACTGCAGCTTCATCCATGACAATGAGGAGGCTTCAAGGTTTTAAGGTTGAGGATGAAGGGCCTGGGAAGGTAGAAGCACATTCTCAAAGAGCCCGATGCATCCTGCCATCAGTTCAACGGACTGGAAGGTGTGATTCTTGAGCAAATTCTAGAGGCAAGACTCCAGACAGCCTGGCCCCGACTAGTCCAGAGTGGTATTTTTGGTATGGAGGCCCCTCCACGACTTTTGCCTCAATCAAGTCCAATCCGACTGCAATCCTTCGCTGTGTCGGTGTGCTGTCCAAGGCACGGCCTATCCCAGCAGATGAGATGGAGGCCCATGGCAACTTCTAAGAATCGTTCCAGAACATGCTTGTCGTTGATGCAATTTCATGCAATTTCTGGGTTCGGGGGTTCAGGGAATAGTGCAGAATCATGACTTCGCACTCATTCAAGGTTCAGGATTCATTCATGTTCATGTCCCCCAGCTCCCATGAGGGTGGCACCTTTCCCAGCTCCCATTTAGACCTCACTCTCCTCACTTCTGCAGGTGGGCCTTGGGATTCATGGAGAGCCGGGCCTTCGGGTGAAGGCCACCGCGAGCACCACCGCCAAGGACGGAACGACCGTGGATTCCGGCGCTGGCGCCGACCGACCGGTGGCGCCGACCGGTGGCGCCCGGGGCAGGAGATCGTTGAGACCATCATGTCGCAATTGGCCAAGCACGTGCCTCGGAAGGTGCGCCTGTTGCGACATGGGAGGCAGTCGAAGTAATAGTGTAGAGGTAGGTGCGCCAGGGAATTTCTTGCATGAAGGTTTGGGCTGAATGGTTTTTGCCGCACACATCCCACACATGCCGCTGTAAGAATTGCATGTTTGGTTTGATAATGATGTGATCATAAAGCAGAATCAGAAGTGCGAACACACACAATTTGCTTCCTTAAAGTCGTATTCATGTTACTTCATTTGGGGACCGGGGAGAGTGCCTCACCCTACCATGCCTATTCGGCCTTTGCATCCATGAGCAGGTGCCACTTTGCGTGATGCTCAACAACCTAGGTGCCTAGCTTCCGAAGCCAACTGGCGCGGGAGACTTCAAAACGCAACAGACTCACAAGTGTTTTTTTTTGTTATCCCTGCATGGTAGGTCCTCAAGGGCCTACTACAGATTGAAGACAAAGTTTGCACAGGATTCAGCGCCATTGTTGTTTCCTTTTTTCCCATGGCTGCACTGGCACAGCACATGGCTCCAGCGATTTACTAATTACGAAGTTTGAGATTGAACACAGACGTGGGGAGTTCCCCACGTCTACGTGGCTTTTTCCAAGTTATTGCGAACTGGGAAGACTATACATAAGACTTATGCATGCATCAGGTATGCAGGCTTGGATGTGCATGTGTCATAACTTATCAGAAGAGGCGTTTGTTGCAACATGTCAGATTAAGTTTCTTCTAATGTCTATATATATATATATATAACCTGTCGGTCTTCACCCTTACATGACCATGTCTATTGGCTCGTTCCCCCCAGCTCCCACCATTGCGGAGAGGCAATGCGGGTGGTTTGTCTTCAATTTTCTTGGACCTCCATGTTACAATGTAAGTTGGTTGACAACTGATTTCTTGCTGGCTAGTCCTTGGGACGCCACGCACTCAAAAAGATCTCCTTCCGCCTCCGTGCTCCCCGCAGAAAGCTCCTCCTCGCAGGCTCTGTGCCCGTCTTGGAGATGCAGCTGATCGCAGGGCAAGTGACCTGACCTCCTGAGCTGAGAGGAACCGAGTTAACATGCTTTTGACCACGAAAAAAAACGGGCGAGGGGCAACATATGAGTCCAACAGATATAAGTTAAGATGTAATTAATGATCATTACTGTCTTATATAGTGCATGCCCATATACATATTGTGTATATCATGTAGTTATATAGGTAATCCCATGTAATGTAATCATATTGTGTATTTGTTTAAATCAGATCCCAGGCCGCTACACATCTCTTTGTTCCACAGCGACGGGTGACTTGGGTGTTGGTCACGGCCGTCGTACCGATCGGCCACCCTGGACCACCCCGAAGAACCAGACACCATCAACACCGAAACTTGCCGCGCATGGTTTTTAGCATGATGGCATGATGGCAGCATGACATTTGATCGAACTTGCTCAGTTTACTTGGACTTGGGTCTACATTCTGCATGTTTGACTTTTTGTAGAGTGTTAGTCCCACGGCGGAGTCCTGCCAAAAGCACCAGGATGTCAACTCGGCAGAGGCTTCCATAATTGCTGCTTCTGAGATAGTGCAGTGTGATTAAACATTGTTTTCTTGGGATTTTGTCCATCAACTGCAGAACAGTTGAAACCTTTTGGGAGACACCCTGCGGAAACAAAAGGTAAAAACACGACTTCTAGAGGAAGCAAGACAGGAACACAGGAGGACGGTGTCCGCTACAGGATATTATGCCGCACCTTTCTGGAGTGTTTATTCAGCAAAACCCACGTGGCCTTTGTTTTGAGACCATATATTTTTGATTTGTTGTTCGAAGAGTAGTGGGGGTCACTTAGGTTCTGAGTATTTAATCATATTTATTAATCACACGTTTCGTCACGCTGTGCCCTCAGGTGATGAACAGCGAGTTGGGCCCACGCATCAAATTGCTGCAGCTTTGCTCAGGGAGGTGGTTCGAGCGGAGCTGGTTCAAAAGGGTTGAGAAATCATGACATGTTTGAGATGGGTGGATCTGAAGATGATTCTTTGAGATCTTTGAGATGTTTCTTGACATTTTAAGTGGCTGACCTTTGTGAGCAGTAGGTACTGTATCTAAGTGCTACAGTATTTATGCTCCCCCAAGTGGCCAGATGTGGGTTGTTGCTTGCCCAGGGCCCAGCTGGGAATATTGAGGTGTTTGTTTATGCATGAATTGGTTCAATTGATGAGCTGAAGCATATCACATTCTTGCGGCTTTCTTTGGAGATAAGTCCCCCCCCCAAGAAAACAACAATGGCTGGACCTAGAAGGCATTTGACACATGCGCTCACAGGGTTGGACCTCAAAAAAGCAGGTTAATACCTCACACGGTTGGTTGGAAGCTCACCTTCTGGGCCACCGGGCGAGTTTGGTTTGCTAAGCTTTGATGTCCTGAGTGGTTTCAGGACAGAGGCAGACCTACTACTACTACTACT